TACCATACATTTAAAAAAAAAAAAAAAAATCAAAGTTCATCTTTTTTTACTTCGTATTTTGAAAAACAGGTCTCTAGTGCAAGAAATTAAGAGAATCCTGACTAGTCAACTACAAGTACCTTTTCCTATTTAGAAAGCCAGATGCCCTGTTCAGTGGCACCGTCTCCATAAAAACATAGGGATGGCAGTTTTAAACTGAATTGCAATACAAGAAATGTGTTAAAACTTCAAAGATTATGGATATCAGGAACAAAGTTTCCAACAAGTCTACTACCTGACTCTTTGCTTCTGCCTTTCACAATAAAAGCCTAATGGTATACAAACCATGCAAAATAGTTCCTGTTTTGTGTCCGCTTCCCAACTTCCTCCTTAAAATACACTATTTTCTTAAGTGTGGATGATATTAGCCATGAAAGAGAGAACACAATCCTTACTTTCTCCTTCTGCTATGTAGCCTTTTGTATATCACCCATTAATAATTACATGTTCAGAAGATTATATAGTTATCTATGCAGCTATAACTAAGAATAACATGAAGTGATTAACACATACACCACCTAAAAGAAAAGAAAGGAAGAATTATAGTTTGACAGCATGCTCTAATATTGTTTTAATGATGAATGGAGCTGCCAGACAGATGGTCAACAATCAGTCTTTGCACTGTAGGGTCTTGTCAATTTCTTGCAACTCTACTGCAGAGGTGCCATTTGTACCTAGTATTTGAGGTATTCATCATGCCTGGTAGTTTCATTGTTTTACAGACTTTAAAAATCAAGCTCCACAACAAGGTTCTTATAGATTCAAACAAGGTAACACATACCCGAATTTCCCTTCTAGTTTTGGGGTTGAATTTTGTGTTCTTGGGAACTCCTGGAATGATGTACAACCGTGCTAACTGATCATTAATTCGCAGCTCAATGTATTCTTCTTTGCAGATATACTCTTTTATGTCAAACCCAGTTTCTTCAAACACCTGAGAAGCATATAGATGAAATCAGTGTGTGTATTCAGATTTATCCTTTCAGAATCTACTATCACAAGGGAAGGAATGACTAATATTCTGATCTATCCATGAAAGCAGGTCGTTGCTGAGAAAAACAACCCCTTCACACACAGATTTATGCTTAATAATAGAAAAAGAATCTTAAGATCCTATGTGCTTTACATTTCTCTAAGTCAGACAGGCCTGTAATAAAAGTTGAAACAACTCTATTACACCTTCCTGAAGCAATTTATTAATATGGATGGGGAGTCTGTAGCTGCTCCTCCATGCTGCTGGATGCACTGAGATCTCATTCACAGCAAGAACTACTGCATGGGGAAGTAAAGGCATCTTCACATTCTAGGAATGTTTGCTTGCACCTCAATTTTTCTTCTCTTTCAACAATCCTACTTTATGAACCTTCTACCCCCATGCATATAATAATTTTTACATTCACAACAAAATCCAGCAACAGGTAGCAAAACTCTTACTACAAAATTCAAACTGCACATTCACACTGACAAACAAACTTAAAACTGCATTGTCAGTTACTCTAAGGAAAAAAATGGGAGTGTTATACCTGCTGGAGTTCACTAGAAAAACAATGATACTTTAAAAGAACATTTTCTTTGTATATTTTATGGTCTTGCAGTGAAAGATCATAGATTCAGAGAATGGTTTAGGTGGCAAGGGACCTTCAAAGATCATCTACTCCAACCCCCCTGCCATGAGCAGGGACATCTTTCACTACATTGGGCTGCTCAAAGCCTTACTTCAAAATACTTACTTTTGACAATGTTCTCAAATATATAAGATTTAAAATATTAGAAGTTTCATGACAAATACAACTAATAGCTTAAATAAGTAAATACTCATTTTTAGAAACTTCCTAGACCTCCAAATCTCCACAGAAAATACAAGTACTCAGAAAACATGCAGGATTAATACCACTGTCCAAAATATTTCTGCCCAGACAGTAGAACATGCATGTGAACAATCACTCATAGAACTAGATATTAAACACAGGGCTATTAAGCCCCACTACCAACAACACAAAGGCAGAAATCCTCAGTTAAATTTTTTAATGACCAAATTTATAATTAAAATGAGCAACAGGATCTTCAGTAAAATCTCTCCTCAGCCTCCATCTCCTATGAGTACATATAATGAAAAATAGAACCAAATAACTGCATATAAAATAATAATAGCAGGAAATACTCAGAATATCTTATGCAAAATATCAATATATATATCAGCAAAATGGTGGTAACTTCCATTTTTGAAAATGCAGAGGAAATTAAGCACAAGTATGAAAAAAATCAGAAGTGTTTAATGCAAAGCAAATAATTGACCAGTTAGTCTTCAAATCAGCACATACAACCAACCCCTCTTATCAAGATAAAAAGCAAGCCATCTTCCCATCTAACTACATTAAGAACAGCAGAGTTTAGGGGAAAGAAGAAACAAAAAACCCCCACCACACACTGTCTCAATTAAGGTAAGATATGTTTTATCCTCCATACTTACTCTTACCACTAATACCAATGTTTTCCCTTCCTAAATTATCTTCCCAGGTGATTTAAGTGAATTCATTGTAGAAGCTCCTTTTACCAAGAGCTACCATCCATTTAGTATGGTTTTTCCCTCACCAACTTCTGAATACTACCAAACTGTGTAGGCACTGCCCAGTGAAGACCTCTTCAGCTTAGACCTTATACAGATGCAGTTTATGGTTTTAGACCTGTGCTGACTCCATAAAAGCAGTTAAAAGACTTATGCACGGATATTACTGACATCCCAATTCATAACCATAAGTAAGCCTTGAAGAATTTGCCAGTTTATCCACAATGACAATCTACCTTGATGGAAAAAGATTGTAGCAACAGTGGTGTTCACTAGTGTAATCTAAATAAATTCCTTAAATTAAAAGCACCATTAAAAGATTTTTTCCTAGCTTTTGCTAGCATAACGTGAAGTAAAGAGGAAGGGATACTTCACGTCATTTCTTCCTGAAGCAGTTACACCTAGTAACACCACTATGTTGTGGTCCATATATTTTTATGGACTCCTGTGCCTTCAGTTTAGTCCTTTAGACCAACCCTAAAAGCACCTGACTAGTAAAAGTTTAACTGAACAAGATATTTGTGGAAAAGAGTCATGCATTGAATAATCAAGTTAATCTTCTTAAGTCTCTGCTCATCCTTCCCCAGCCCTTGAGTTCTGCAATGACAGACCACTGCATCTGTAGCTCAGGTGTTTCACTCTGGCAAGTCATTTGATACTATATAAATAATGTTCTGCACTCAGAGATCAGTAACTGCTAACATGAAAGCGTGTTTCATGTATGTTCATTGCATAATAGTGCAATGTTAAGATCTAAAATGTTATTTTGCTTTTCCAACTCCATATTAAATATATGAGTGGTATGGAAAGCACCATCAGGGAACCAGAAATAGGAATTTTTTCATTCATGCACCTTTGACAGCTCTATTAAAAAAAGAGACACGAAAACAAAACTAACATGATTTCTCAGACACTGATTCAGTCCAACCATGAAGAAAACTAATACTTCTTACTATTTTACCTCATCTTAATTTTAGCTCTCAAAAATTCTGGATGTATTATGTTACATGAACATTGAGTTTATATCAGCAATATTCTTTTACAGGCTATTTTTAATATGCAGCTTCACTATGTATCTACATCTCTAGCAGCAATAAATCCTACATATTAAATTATTTTTCAGATTTTACTTGCTATAATCATTTATACTTGGTCCTGCATCACTGAAAAATAGGAAAGTTAATTTCTTCACAATTTTTACATAATCTTTTACAACCTCCAATGCAACTCTTTAGCCTCTTTACATAGCTCAGCGTACATAAGCTAAATTCCCATTCTTCTACCTTTTTACAGCTATGGTGGCCCTATTTTCCAAAAGCCACAAAGTACATAAGATTTCCCAAGCACCAAAAATAATACTTATAAGTAAATTGATAGCTCAGCAGAGAACTTTAAAGATAGTACTCACTTAATTTAGCAAATTAGTGCAAAACAATTAAAAACATCAAACAATGATTTTTAAATTATATAACCACACCCCTGATTATCACTCTGGAACTCAGAAAAGCACTAAAAGCTACAGCAGAAGACTCCTGAAAGAATAGGGTATTCATTTACCTGATTTCAATGAAGAGATACCCAAGTAAAATGTCTTTTCATCTAACACACATCCTGCTCTCAGCAAAATTTCATTTCTTTATATTTGATTCCCTTAAATTTAAGCTAACTTACCTCTCTAGCAGCACAGTCATGAGGTGCCTCTTCTTTATTTACTTTCCCTTTTGGAAATCCCCAACCAGACTTTGCTAAATAGCCCTGAACCAAAAGAACCTGCAAAATACAAGGGAATGCAACTGTCAGCACCCACTATTCTATCCAATTTCTATTAAACGTCTTCCCTTCACCATCCCCTGCTTCTCAAAAAATACGTATTAGCCTGGAGGAAGGAACACATTACGTTTCATGTGTTCTAGCAAGAACTGTGGAATTTTTTTACGAGATGACGAAATTCAGGAAAAAAAAAACCCACACCAAAACTGAGGAGGAAAGCAAGCAGAAGTGTGCTTACTGTCTCACATATTACAAACTCAACAGCATCAAGTAACCGTCAGGTCTTTGTGAATCTGAAGCACTCCTTTTTTTGATCCAGATTGAAAATGTAAACAACAAAAAAATTACTTCTGCCACCATATGCCATCCTTCTCTCTAGCCCTTCACAACTGTTTTCATACTTACATTTTCAAGTGTCTCATCAAGAATAATTGCACCATAGGTTGGTACTCCCATTTTGTACTCTTTCCACTCATCTAAAACCTTTTGTACATCTTCACCTTGAGGCAGTAAAAAGGGACAGTGATTGAAGAGTACAGCAGCATGTTAAAGAAGATAAACTTAAGCATCCAGTTTCAAATCACACACAGACATACAATTTACCCACTACTGTAAATATTTACAATAACCACACTTCCTCCCCTAAATGTTTTCAAGATACATTCTCTTGAAAGTGAAAAATATTATGAATAATCTGTTACCAAACTCCAAAGGTCAAAAAACATCAAGTAATTTGGTATTTCTAATACAAGCCAATTTTTAATTTAAAAAAAAGAACAAGAAAGAAGACAGTGCAAGGCTGCTTGTTTGAAGGAAGAAAAAGTGTCCACATAACATTATTTTGAATATATATTATTCTTAGACACATTTTTTTCATTTTGAAGTGAAACAGACAAGTTTCATCTCCTGCTTGAGTGGAGCTAGATTTTTGCCACCATCATTTGTTAGATTATGGTACAGAATCTGTACTGAGGTATTTACTATGCAAAAAAATTCTTTTTAATGGCATCAATTTACAGAGATCTAAATTCTAACACACTTTACCAAAGTCCACCATGCAGAGAAAACATGAACAACATTTATTACTCTAAAACTTTGAAAGCAAATCTACAAGTCCTTAATAAAAGTATTAATATTATATATTACATATCAAATTATACTACCAATAAAAAAAATACTCCATAGCAGAGTACTTAAAAATGCAACACTGTCACAGAAATGTCTACTACATTGGATTTTTCCTGCACTGCCTACAATTACTAGAAGAATTCTGTTGGTCTGAAAATACATTTATAATTTAAAAAATACCCAAAATAATAAAAAATAACTGCACAATATCAAGCAACAGAAAATTTTCATATTTTTACAGTTTTTTGTTAAAATAAAAGCTGCAGTGCCGTAAAGCAAATCTCTGTTATCAACTAACAGAGCAGTACATTGTGCACTCAAACCACAGGTAATATTATCATGAAAGTTAGAAGAAATACTCCAACCCACATCAAGAACACATGGGAAAAGGTTAAAACTAAAACACTTGCTGGATGAAAGTCATGGGTTTTTCTCCAGCCAGGACTAGATAGCTACGTTCCAGCGGCCCTTGTAAGCAATGAAAAAAGCAGAGGCCAACCATATGAATTCAGTAAAAATGCATCCTCTCCCCGACCAACAGCAGTGTTTCTAGGAGCAACTGTCAGTACTTCCAACAAATACATACCACTGGCCATGGGGGAACACATAACACTTTCAGCTACATTAACATTTATGTCACTATTTACTTGGAAAGGGATTAAATTAAGGAGACAAAACACCATGAAGAGTTCCAACGGCTCACCTTCGAACCCACCTAGTATACCAAGTGCAACCATGAGGAAAAACCCTCAAAGATCAGAAACTACCTGTTTTCCATAGTTCTTCAGCAGTCTGAGAAACATCTCTTTTGTGGATGCCACAAAATTATGGAAGCAATGAACAGGTAAAAATCACATACCTAGCAATACTAACTTTTAATCACTAACACATGAACTGACATTTTCCTGCTGCAAGTGTGAAATTTCATTAACAATATTCAGTTTGCCCTTTATCCAGTAAGACAGAAAACATTCACAGTAATAAAAAGGATATCAGCTTTAGCAAAGTCTCTTATCCCACACTGAGGTAATCCTGGTGTGTTTTGCATGTAGAAATCCAAGTAAAACCAATGGGCAAGTTCAATCTGAAAACATACTCTGATTGCATTGTCTCTCTCTTCACTTGGAATGTGCAAAATAAACCGGCTGCCAGGAAACAAAGAAGAGTAAGATTAGCCAAATCTATCGATTTAAATAAATCTAACAACAAAAATACATTGCAACAATGGAATTCCTGATCCACTAGCACAGAGCAACAGACCACCAGATCTTCCTGGTGGTCTGGACAACAAAGGGTTTTCACATCAAAGACGTAACTTTTAAAGTCAAGGAGAATGGATCGTGATGTTCTTTCACAAAAGTCAATTAGAGTAAATTAAGTAAATTAAGTGTTGTGAAAACAGGGAGGGTGAAGACATCCTATATAAATGGCTCTATTACGAGTGTGAAAACACTTTCACATGTCCAGTAAAGAACATCTGCAAACTCTGACAACAGATGTCAATGTATTTTTTACTGAAGACAAGTTAAACACACCTATGTATTTTCACTTAAAACCATAGTAAACTATTAATTTATGTAGATTTTAAAATTCAATATGATCCTATCCATTTTTTTAGTCTGAAATAGAACATGGACAATTAGTTTATTTTTCAAGTCTATTTTATGCTTTAGCCCAGATACTGGCACACAAATACAGAATCCCAGAAATGTAAGCATAAGTAGCACTGTGTGATAGCTTATTTTACTTAAGTGGAATTTTCTTTTTAGAAATTTAAGGTCACCCACTCCATTGAACTTAAACCATTTGATAGACATCTTTTATACTCAACTCCTCAGTACTACCAGCTAAATTCCAAAAGCACCTAGTATCATTGCCAGAACCAGAAATACTTAAGACATCTTTACTTAAAAATTGGGAAGTCTTAATTGTTAAGGAATGTCAAAAGTGGTTGAGACTCACAGCCACTCTGGCCAAGGACTGCCTCCTGCCTGGCAATTGGAGCCCAGCCCTGTGTCCCAGGGTCTCTGCCCAGACTGAGGGACACAGCTGCCACTTTCCCTTTCGCAGGTTCAACTAGTAGCAAAGCCCAGCATGTATCCCAGGGGCACACACACACACACCAGACACTAACACAGCTGGTCACACAGGCTGCCACAGACAAGGTGCTGCCTTCAACAGCACCTACATACAGCATTACACAAAACACAAGCACAGACAGCCAAGTCACCTTCTCTTCTTCAGCTGGCAGAGGCAGAAGGTTGCTAGTGCAGGCACACGCTTGACACTCCAGGTTCACAAGCACATACACACTCATGGGTCCCTCACGTACCAGCATGCTGGTTTACCTCCCGCTGCCCACCCAAAACCCCTGCCCAGGCCCTCACACCCATCACACAGGTCCCTGCCTCGCCGGTTGGTCCAGCTTGAAGTTTGCTACTGAGTACACATGCACAGCATGTTTGGGAAAGACACTCGCCCCACCACCAGCTAGCACCCAGCACATGGGCTGCGACCCACTGCAGAGGTCCTGCTCCAGCCACTGGTTCTCTGCCCCTCACTCACCTCACCCACACAGTTCCCCCGCAGTAGCTGGTTTTCAGAACACTTGCTGTTGCCACCCCAGAGCCTGGAGCCGAGACCCCCAACCCATACAAGTAGCTGTCACTGAGACATCCCCCCTCACTGCAGTAGCTGACACCCCATCCACTCACACATATACCCCTCATTTGTAGCTGGCACTTCATCCTTGCAGCACATGTACATGGGGTAGAGAGTGAGATTATGCAGAGAGAAAACTAAGAAAAAGGTTTAATAAGAAGATGTAAGAAGATAGGACAGACTGTGGCAATCAGGCGAAAGGCTTAGCCAGACAAGCATACTGACTGGCCCAGTTTCACATGCAACCAGCCCCTCTTATACCCTTTTCTGTCTACCCCCACGTTGTCCCCGCTGGCTCCCCGTCCCCTGCCACACCCATCCCAGCCCTGTGTGCGGCATCCCCCCAGGTTTGCAGCCTTATCAGATGCAAAGCCCAGGCTGATCTTCCTGGACGCGGTGTCTGTGGTTTTTTAATAGTCCATCAACGAGGGTGACTGTCAGGTTTGCTTCTTGCCAGTGTCTCCCCTTCTGTTTTCTTAGGTCTGTGTCTGTATATTTTTGGTTCCAATTTCGCCCTTTTCCCCCTTTTCCCCCTAGTTTCCCAGGAGCAGGTCCCCACTCAGATAAATTTGCTGGAATGAACATTCCCACATCTCCACACACCCTCATCAATAAGTGGCCAGGTTTGGCTCTCATCAGCGCTCCCCTTACCATTCCTCTCTCAGGTTTGGCTCCCTGCATATTTTGTTTATGGCTTTCTCCTTTTCTTACTACCCCATTTTCACATTGAAAAACATCCCTGACCAAGTACCTTTAAAGCAGCAGACACTCTCCCTTACATAAGTAACCTTATTCACTTCAATAACAGTATTTTCCTACTTGCCAATTTGCAACTGACAATACCACCCCACGAACTGCTCCTTTATTTTTGAATTACTGCTGAAATTACTCTATTACTGCTGAAAATAGCCCTTACATGATGATGTTGTTGATGATGTTTTCTTGCCCCGGAGCTGCAGCTGAACATAAATCTGAAAATGCAATATGCAGAAGTAGCACCAAAAAAAAGTAAGAACATGCCAGCATTAGGTTTAGAGTAAGAAGAGCAAAAGCCTATTAGAACACTGCTCAGTAATCAAAAAGTTAACTCCCAAGTTAGAGTGACTGAAGTGCTAGCAACAGGCATCTCTACGTTGTACTGGGTACAGCTGCCCAGGTGCTGGCAGCAGGGGCTGCAGGGTGGCCTCCATTGAGCAGAGATCGGGGCTGCCCCATGATGAGCACAGCTGGCTCCAACAGACCCACTGCAGGGCACAGCTGAAGCCAGCAGCCAAGACGGTGGCACCTCTGGGAAAGTGTATTTCAGAAAGGACAAAAATGCCAGACAGGCAGAGGAAGAGAGAAAAAGACTGAAACAGGAGTGCAAACACTAAGGTCAGAGAAGAAGGAGGGAGAGGAGGAGCTCCGTGGTGGAGCGGATGTCCGCACTGCAGCCTGTGGAGGATCCCATGACGGAGCATGTGGCGATTTCCCAAAAGAACTTCAGCCCATAGGATTGACCCCAGGCTGGAGCAGAGGCAAAGGAGGAAGAAGCAGCAGTGATGAAGTGTTACAGACTGACCACAACACTCATTGCCCACCCCCTGCCCTACTCAGTGAGGGGGAGGTAGAGGAGTGGGGAATGAAGGGGTGAAGTTGAACCTGGGAAAAATGGGGATGTAGGGGAAGGTGGTGTTTAAATTTTTTTGTTGTTTCTCTCTATCCAAAGCTGTTTCAATTGGCAACAAACCAAATTAATTTTCCCCAAGTTGAGGGGAAAATTTTTGCCCGTGATGGTAACTGGTAAGCAACTTTCCTGCCTCAGGAATCCTGAGACACAAGCTTTTCCATCCTATTTTCTCCTTCATCCTGTTGAAGAGGGGGAGTAACTGACTGTGTGGGCATCTGGCTGCTGGCCAAGGTTAACCCACCGAAGTCCTGAAGTCAAAAGATAGGGTAACAGCACTCGCTTATAGGAGAAAGAGAGCACCAAGAAGCCCCAAAACCTACATTAAGGCTTTGTACTTCCACTTATTTATTCCATAAAGAACAACTCAGTAGCACAAGACAGCGTGACAAAAAAGTGATGTATATACTTGTGAATTGTTATTTAGCAGAATGGGTCAGAGTGGTCCTACTACTGAAGCTTAAACACACAATAACTTACCAGACCTAGAATAAAGTGTATCCTGGCATTGTGTGATTCTAAAACAGCCTAGGAACTCAGCAAATGTTTGAAGACATTATGTACCTGGCTTTAGCTATGACTTGTTTTCACATGCTGGCAAGTAACATTTTACTCTCTGAATAAGAATGGAGGTGTAACATTTTACTGTCTGAATACAAATTCTAAGTGTAGAAGTCTCTTAATTTAGTTTAGCAGCAGGGAAAAACTGCAATAGCTTGGGGGAAAAAACGTTAAGTGAAAATGCATTATACTAGTGTTTTTAATCTTATTTTTGTTATCCTTAGGAGCATGATTTTTGCAATAAAAGTGTTTAACAATAATCACCACCACCATTATCACTTATAATCAATTCTCACACAGATCTCTATAGCTGAATATAAAAGCCTGCTTGGTATTTTATACTATTGGAAAAAGTTGTGGGTTTTGGTTTCATTTTTCTTTTTTAAGAACTAGCTTATACTGATTCTCTAGCACAGGTTTCAGTGCTGTATAATTTCAGTATTACATTCTGTAAAGTCAGCTACAAACATTTGACTCTGAACATACCCATTACAGTAACTTTATATACTGAGCTCCACAGGACGAACAAAGCCCAGGGCCTGAGGGCCCTTCACGCAGTGTACTTGATTTAATAAAGCCAACATGCAAAAGAATTTTTAGTAACATGCCTTAAAAATTCTACATTTAATAACTTCTTATAGGTTACAGCTAACCTTATATAGTCTACTGCTCACAGTATGGAAAAACATTAAGGTGCAAGAACATCCAGAAGTATGAAGTACGCATTGAGCCTGCAGGCTTTGTATTGTTCTTTCTCCCACAGAAGAAATAGGTACACTGTTTCCCTTGTCCAATTAAAAATTTAATTTGATGCCGAATGCTCCAGTTGCTACTAAATAGCCACATCCTACCCTCAGCAAAATACATCATCACACAAGTAGTGCAAGAGAAACTCTGTAAGAGTAACATCAAGTTCTGTTGGCACTAATGAAAGTCAACAAGGTGAATTAAGAAAAGATGAAGAGCGAGACAGATGGTAACTTAAAGTCCCTGATCTACCATTCTCAGGCTTTTTTTTTTTTTTTAATTAAAGCCACACAACTACATTCATACAATTATAAGACAAAACACCATTCCAAAAGGTGGAAGCAGCAGCTCAGAGGAACACAGTAAGGCAGTGGGACTGACCCTATAACAATATGAGAGCTGATTACTTATGTGCCCTTCTATCAGTCACCCCACAGGAGTGACACTGATAGGCTACTTCAGTTTTGTAGGCATTGTGATTCCCCTCTGGATTTTCTGAAGAAGTCTTAAAC